GTTCTAGGAGCATTTTGAATGAGTCTTTAGGGTTTTCTAGGTATACAATCATATCGTCGGCAAACAATGAAAGTTTGACTTCCTCTTTACCAGTCTGGATGCCCTTTATTTCTTTCTCATTGCTCTAGCTAGGACTTCCAGTACTATGTTGAACAGAAGTGGTGAAAGTGGGCATCCTTGTCTTATTCCAGTTCTCAGGGGGAATGCTTTCAACTTTTCCCCATTCAGTATAATATAGACTGTGGGTTTCTCATAGATGACCTTTATTACCTTAAGGTATCCCCCATGTATGCCAATTTTGCTGAGAGTTTTATCATAAAGGAATGCTGGATTTTGTTAAATGCTTTGTCTGGGTCTGTTGAGATAATCAGGTAATTTTTGTTTTTAACTTTTTTTATGTGAGGTATTACATTTATTGACTTACAAGTGTTAAACTATCCCTGCATCCTTGGTTTGAAACCCACTTGATCATGGTGGATCAGGTTTTTGATATGCTGTTGGATTTGGTTTGGTAGTATTTTGTTAAGGATTTTTGCATCAGTGTTCATCAGGGATATTGGTCTGTAGTTTTCTTTTTTTGTTATGTCTTTCCCTGGTTTTGATACTACGGTAATACTGGCTTCATAGAATGATTTAGGAAGGATTCCCCCTTTCTCTATCTTTTGGAACAGTGTCAATAGGATTGGTACCAATTCTTCTTTGAATGTTTAATAGAATTTAGCTGTGAATCCATCTGGTCCTGGTCTTTTGTTTGTTTGTTTGTTTTGTTTTTGAGATCTGTTGCCCAAGCTGGAATGCAGTGGCACGATCTCAGCTCACTACAACCTCTGCTTCCGAGGTTCAAGCGATTCTCCTGCCTCAGACTCCCGAGTAGCTGGGACTACAGGCGCCCACCACCACGCCCGGCTAATTTTTTGTATTTTTAGTAGAGATGGGGTTTCACCATGTTGGCCAAGCTGGTCTTGAACTCTTGACTTCATGTAATCCACCTGCCTCGGCCTTCTAAAGTGCTGGGATTACAGGCGTGCACCACCGTGCCCGGCTGGTCCTGGCCTTTTTTTTGTTGGCAATTATTTTATTACCATTTCAATCTCACTGCTTGTTATTGGTCTGTTTAGAGTTTCTAAGTCAGCCTGGTTTAATCTAGGAGGGTTGTATATTTCCAGGAATTTATCCATCTTCTCTAGGTTTTCTAGTTTATATGCACAAAGGTTTTCATAGAAGCCTTTAATAATCTTTTGTATTTACGTGGTATCAGTTATTATCTCCTGTTTCATTTCTAATTGAGCTTATTTGGATCTTCTCTCTTCTTTTCTTGGTTAATCTCACTAATGGTCTATCAATTTTATTTATCTTTTCAAAGAATCAGCTTTTTGTTTAATTTGTCTTTTATATTTCTTGTTTCAATTTCATTTAGTTCTGATCTAATCTTCATTATTTCTTTTCTGCTTTGTTTGAGTTTGGATTGTTCTTGTTTCTTCTTCAATTCTGTGAGATGTGAGCTTAAATTGTCTATTTGTACTCTTTCAGAGTTTTCGATGTAGGCATTTAATGCAATGAACTTTCCTTTTAGCACCGCTTTTACTGTATACCAGAGGTTTTGATGGGTTGCGTCGCTATTATCATTCAGTTCAAAGAATTTTTAAATTCCATCTTGATTTCATTGTTGACCCAATGATCATTAAGAAGCCCGTTATTTAATTTCCACATATTTGCATGGTTTTGGGGTTTCCTTTTGGACTTGATTTCCAATTTTATTCCACTATGATCTGAGAGAGTACTTGATATAATTTAGATTTTTTAAAATTTACTGAGACTTGTTTTGTAGTCTATCATATGGGCTGTCTTGGAGAATGTTCATGTGCATATGAATAGAATGTATATTCTGCAGTTGTTGGGTAGAATGTTCTGTAAATATCTTTTACGTCCATTTGTTGTCGGGTGTAGTTTAGGTCCATTGTTTCTTTGTTGACTTTCTGTCTTGATAAGCTGTCTAGTGCTGTCAGTGGAGTATTAAAGTCCCCCACTATTATTGTGTTGCTGTCTATCTCATTACTTAGGTATAGTAGTAATTGTTTTATAAATTTGGGAGCTCCAGTGTTAGATGTATATATTTTTAGAATTGTGTTATTTCCCTGTTGGACTAGTCCTTTTATCATTTTATAATCTCCCTCTTTGTCTTTTTTAACTGCTGTTGCTTCGAAGTTTGTTTAGTTTGATATAAGGATAGCTACTCCTGCTCTCTTTTGGTGTCCATTTGCATGGAATATCTTTTAGCACCTCTTTATCTGAAGTTTATGTGAGTCCTTATATGTTAGGTGAGTCTCCTGAAGACAGCAGAAACTTGGTTGGTGAATTTCTTTTTTTCTTTTTTTTTTTTCTGAGATGGAGTCTTGCTCTGTCACTCAGGCTGGAATGCAGTGGCATAATCTCAGTTCACTGCAACCTCTGCCTCCTGGGTTCAAGCAATCCTCCTGTCTCAGTCTCCTGAGTAGGTGGTACCACAGGCACATGCCACCACACCCAGCCGAATTTTGTACTTTTAATAGAGATGGGATTTTGCCATATTCCGTATGCTAGTCTTGAACTCCTGACCTCAGGTGATCCACCCACCTGGGCCTCCCAAAGTGCTGGATTACAGGCAAGAATCACTGTGCCCGGCCAGGTTGGCGAATCTTACCCATTCTACCATTCTGTATCTTTTAAGTGGAGTATTTAGGCCATTTATATTCAATGTTAGTACTGAGATATGAGGCACTTTTCTATTCATCATGCTATTTGTTACCTGAATACTTTGGTTTTTTTCATTGTGTTATTATTATATAGGTCCTGTGAGATCTGTGTTTTAATGAAATTCTATTTTGGTGTATTTCAAGGATTTGTTTCAAGATTGAGAGCTCCTTTTAGCAGTTCTTGTAGTGCTAGCTTGGTAGTGGTGAATTCTCTCAGCATTTGTTTGTCTGGAAATATTGTTATCTTTCCTTCATTTATGAAGCTTAGTTTTGCTGGATACAAAATTCTTGTCTGATAATTGTTTTTGTTTAAGGAGACTAAAAATAGGACCCCAATTGCTTCTAGCTTATAGGGCTTCTGCTGAGAAATCTGCTGTTAATCTGATAGGTTTTCCTTTACAAGTTACCTAATGCTTTTGCATCACAGTTCTTAAGATTCTTTTTGCCTTGACTTTAGATAACCTGGTGATTATCTTTTTGTGATGAATTTCCCAGGTGTTCTTTGAGCTTCTTGTATGTGGATGTCTAGATCTCTAGCAAGGCCAGGGAAATTCTCCTCAATTATTTCCCAAAATATGTTTTCCAAACTTTCTCTTCTTCCTTGGGAACATCAATTATTCTTAGGTTTAGTCCCAAACTTCTTGGAGGCTTTTTTCATTTTTTAAAAATTCTAGGATTGAAGGAATGAGCATATTCTTTTGTCCCAGGGAGTGCTCCCTTGATGTGATGTTCCCTCACTTCCCCTAGAAATGGAGCTTCCTGAAAAGCAACCTGTAGTGATTATTTTTGCTCTTCTGGGTCTAGCCACCCAGTGGAGCTACTGGGTTCTGGGCTGGTACTAGGGAGTGTCTGCAAAGAGTCCTGTGATGTGATCTGTCTTCAGGTCTTGCAGTTGTGAATACCAGTACCTGTTCTGGGGGAAGGTAGAAAGGAAGTAAAGTGGACTCTGTGCTTTTGTTTTTGTTTATTGTGCTGGTTTTGTGTTGGTTGGCTTCCAGCCAGGAGGTGGTGCTTTTGAAAGGGAGGATGCAAACTTGCTCTAGGAACCCCTGGTTAAGGGTTCAGGTTTCCCAGATGGTGGGCGGGGACATAGAGCTCTTCAAAGATTATGACCTTTGTTTTGGACTACCAGGGTAGGTAGAGAAAGACCACCAGGTAGATAGCGATAGGTGTGTCCGAGCTCAGACTCTTCTTGGGTGGGATTTGCTGTGGCTGCTGTGGGGCATGGGTGTGTGATTCCCAGGCCAATGAAGTTATATTTCCAGGGAGATTATGGCTGCCTCTGCTGAGTCATACAGGTCACCAAGGAAGTGGGGGAAAGTTGTCAGTCACAGGCCTCACCCTGTTCACATGCAGCCCACAGTCCCAAAGGCCAACCTCATTCCCCCTTTAGCCTTCCAGTAGCACCGAGTGTATTTCCAGGAAACCTGTGACCAGGGCTGAGAAGTTTCCCCAGACCACGAGCCACTCCATTGAGAAAGCAAGTAGACTCACAGTTTTTTGGCATCTCGGGGAGCCTGCAGTGGTGATCCAGTTCCTTCAAAGTGTCTGTGGATTCTCTCAGCTTTCCTCGTATGTTCCTGTGGTAGTTCTTGAAGCAAAAGTCTTAATGCTGCTCTGTCCATTGGAGCAGGGCTGCAAGCTAGTCCTGCCTCTAACTGTGTTCTTAACCACCGTGTTATATTAAAAAAGAATTAGAGAATGAAAATTATATTCTGATTCTATTTTTGAATATTACAGAACTCAAGTACTATGGTCTGAATGTTTGTGTACCTCTAAATTTATATGCTGAAATCCTAACTCCCAAGTCGATGGTATTAAGAGGTGGGACCTTTAGGGAAGTGATGAGGTAATGAGAGTAGAGCCCTCATGAATGGGACTAGGGTCCTTATAAAAGAAGCCAAAGAAATCTCATTTTCCCCTTCTACCAAGTGAGGATGCAGCCAGAACATGCTATCTATGGACTAGGAAACCAGGCCTCACTAGACACTTAATCTACTACACCTTGATCTTAGACTTCCCAGCCTCTAGAACTGTGAGAAACAAATTTCTGTTGTTTATTAGCTATTCAGTTTATTTTTGTTTTGCTGTAGCAGCAGCCCAAATTTACTAAAACTTCAAGTTTTGTTTTATTTTTCCCCTCTTATGGTTGTTTTAAAATCTTTTTCAAATCTAACAAATATACTGTTAGCTGAAATGATTATTTTGCCTTCCTTCTTATCAGTGCAGTTTGACATTTTCTGTTATGAAAATAAAAAGCACTCATAATTTTTGCATAATAGAGAAATTATCTTTATTGAGGAATGCATTTTATAACAAGTTGTATTATCACAAATCTCTAAAAATAACAATGCAATTTTTAAACTCTTGTTTTTTGAGTTGGAGCCTGGGGACAAAACAATAATAACAGCAAACAACAACAATAAACAAAAAACCACTTAACACAGACATTTCTAGGCTGAAAAAGAGACGAAGTTGCCAAGGGCAAGGTTTTTTTTTTTTTTTCAATCGTGTTTGGAAGTAAATTCCAACTTACAGAAAAAGTTGCAAAAATCAGACTATCTCAAAGAAAACACACATACCTTTTACTCAGATTACTCAATTGTTAAATTTTATCTCATTTGCTCTATCAATTGCTCTCTTTCTCTATTTATGTGTATCATATTATTGTTAAATTTTACCTCATTTGTTTATCAATTGTTCTCTTTATGTATGTTTGTGTGTACTGTTGCACACACAAATGCACACAAATATATGTTTCTGAATTTTTTGAGAGTAGATTGCATGCATTATGGCCCGTTACCTCAAAATACTTTATTGTGTATTTTCCAAGAATAGGAATATTCTTTTACTTAATCAAAGTATACTTGTTATCTGATTGACTGTCTATATTCCAATTTGCCAATTGACCGAGCATTGTCCTTTGGAGCATTTATGTTACCTCTAGTATAGGATCCAGTCTAGTATCACTTACTATGTTTAGTTCTCAGGTGTTTCTAATACAATTTAATCGGAAACATTTCCACAACTTTTCTTTGTCTTCTATGATATTGACATTTTTTAAGAATTCAGTCAAAACCCCCTGTCTTTTTCTGTTGTTTTTGTTAAAGCGATGTTGTTTCCTTCTCAGTGTGTCACATTTGAAGGCACAAGTTGAACATCCACGGTTTATTGGTGAGGTTAATTTTGATAACCCAGTCAAGAGGTTGTCCATTTTTTTTTTCCGTTGCATAGTTACTGTTCTTTCCCCAGAAACTAACAAGCAATCTGTGAGGAGATACTTTAAGCCCAGAATAATATCCTAATATCCTGCTCCTAATCAAAATTTCCCCCTAGCTTTAGCATTGATTGATAATTCTTGCCTGAGCCGTATTTACTGTGATGGTTGAAAAATCATGGTTTTCCAATTCCAGAACTCCTTTCACCCACATTTACCAGCTGGCCCATGACATTCTGTTGTAAAGGAGACACCTTCTCATTTGTCTATCTATCTATCTATCTATCTATCTATCTATCTATCTATCTATCTATCTTCTATTAGTCATCTATCTACCTATCTATTGATTATGTATCATATATCAGTATGGATTCATGGATTTCTATTTTTTCCCAATGGTTTATAATTTATTATTTTTCTCAACTATTTTGCTCTCAAATTGGCTCAAGTTTGGTCAATGGGAGCCCCTTCAAGCAGGCTCTATGTTTTGGCAGTATACCTATTATTTTTTTGAACATTACTTTCTGGCACAACAAGATATTTCAGGCTCATCTTGTTTCTACCTTGCCCTTGCTTTGGAATCAGCCATTTTGACAGGTAGCCCTGGTTCCTTTTAGTGGCAAATTATATTAGACACGAAGATCTGAGTGCTAGGTGTATTCATTTCTGCTGAGGTGTTTTTGTGTCTAAGCCCTTTTGGCAGATAGAATTAGTAAATATATGCATGTGTATACACACACACACATATATACACACACATAGATGCATGTCTAATATCACACACATATATGCATGCAGGCATGTGTATGCAATTATAATACATATAAATGTACATATACATGGTTTAGAAATTATGAACTTATATCAGTTCTATTCCATTTCCACATGGTTCTTTCTTGCCTTCCCTCATTTCATATTTGTATGTTCATTTTTCCACAGTGGACATCCTGATTCCCATCAACATCAACATCAACATCGACATGTTTTCTCATTTGCTCAATCATATAATACATCTGAAATAGTTTTATTATTACTTGGGCACAATGCAATTGTCCCCCATTCCTGCCTGTCACAAATTACTGGACCTAGTGATTATATGACTAGTTATTTATTTAAAATAAAAGAACTCCTATGTTTACAAAAACTTTTGTACAAAAATGTTTGTAGCAGCTTTATTCATAGCAGCCAAAAATTAGAAATAGCCCAATTGTCTTAATAGTAGAATGAATAAACTGTGATATATTCATACAATGAAATAGTACTTGGTAATAAAAAGAAACAAACTACAGCTGCATGCAACAATATGGATGTATCTCAAATACATTATGGTGAATTTTAAAAAGGCAAACAAAAAAGAATCAATGATGTATAATTCCCTTTATATGAACGGACAAAATGAATCTACGTAATAGAAACTAAACCACTACTTGATTTTGGTAGGGGTGGAACAGAAAAGGACACTGATTGGGAAGGGGCAGAAAAAAATGTACTAGGATTAAGAAAATGTTTTGTATCTTGATTGGGATGTGAGTTATACGGGTGCATGCATTTATCACAGTGGACTGAACTCTATCCTTAATATCTGTGCATTTAATTGTCTATAAATTATCCATTAATTTAAAAATGTTGGTTGGAGTAGAGGCTACCCCTTTTAGCTGAGACTACAATTCTTTACATTAAAATAGCTCATTCTCCTAGCTTGCCTCATTTCTGATGCTCCTTCCCCATAACTCCCCAGCCCCTGTCAGCATTTGAGTTTGCTACTATGATCAATACCTTGATTTCCTTTTACTAACAAATTCTATCCTTTTTATTATCATTTCAAGTATACAAAGTTCAACATAGGTTAGAATTTTGTAATTAGTTAAATGACATCATCAACTGATCGTGTCTGGCCAATATATATGCTTTAATGTAGTAATAACACGTATGCACATTAAAACTGTTTAAATAACACTGACTTCTAGATTAATTCTCAGTTTAGGCCTTTGCCTATCTGATATATTAAGACAAAAGCAAAAACAAACATTTGCAGTGTATTCAGGTTTTGTCAATGGAAGCAATTGATTTCCATCATTAAATGATCGAAAGCCACTTCAATGAGGAAACGATTTTTCAGACCTTCTCATAGATTCTGGTGCACACCACGCCCTTCATTTTACATTCCTTAAAAAAGAGAGAGGTTAATTGAGTATCTCAAGTTCAAACCAGAGAACAGAAAATGTGTAATAAAAATAGAAATTCGAAATAAATTCATAAGATTAGTTTAGAAAGGAATAAAATATCAGTTTGTCAGTCTCCAGTAATTCAGAATTATGACCATTGAAATAGAAGAAACAATTTAGAAGTTGATCTATGGCACTGTAAAGGAATTTTTTTTAAGTGGCAAGTTTTTATGTATAATTCACTTGCATTTAAATCTAATAGGACAGTGATTTTCAAAAATATCTACATATTTGTGTTACCTTGGGAACATTTAAATATAGTGATGGCTCCTCCCCCAAGAGATGTACATTCAGTTATCTGTTTGGGGGCCTCCATATTGGTATTTACTCCCCATGTAAATCTGTTGTGCAGCAAGGGGTAAGAACCACTGTACTAAAGAAAGAAACATTCGGAAGAGTACATGAATCTGTTTACATTCAATGTATGTGTTAATTAGTGAACATAAAGCCTTAACCCTTAAAAAAATTGTCAAAGGTCATCACATATAACCTTTGTCATTATTTTCATCTGCCAACTAGAAGTCTCCAATGAGCTCAGTTTGCTTTATTGACATGATTGATTCTAAGTTAGTATGGGCTCTTGAATGAAAAATGGTGGGATATCTGCAAATATTCTACAAATGAGTTTGCAAATAATCTACAAAATACACCTTGTAGAGTGTATTTTGCTTTTAAAATTTAGACTTGCCTTCTTCTTTGTGAGTCCAAACTAGTAAGATTTACCTAAACTTTCTCTAACCTTACAACCATTTTTAGGTATTTTTATTTGTAAAATAACAAATGGCCTTTTTTATTTCTAAAATCTTGGGTCAGTACTTGAAGATGAGTCTGTAATAGTTTAAATATCACTTAAGCATTAACTATTACTTTATTCTTAGTCATTTTTATCCATTCATATTCCAAAGAACAAAGAATGTTTTGAAAATAATATAATCAAATTATTTATATAGCATTATTTCTCTATTTAGAAGTAAAAATACTCTTACCACTACCATTTTCCCATTCACTAGCTTTCTCTTTATGGTTGTCTCTTTGCCATCCCATCTCTGCACTTGATTCAGTGATCCTCTCTGCAGGGTTACGATGCTCTGCAAAGACAAGGTCATGCAATTGACTTGCCTGAAATTTGTTGATCAAAGAAGCAGTTCTTTCAGTACTGAACCATTTTCATAATAGATGTCTCAGGAGATACACTCCTTTTCAATACAATGGAGTTTATCCTTTTAAGCACTGGCAGGAATAGTCCTCTCTCTCAAGCAGCCCACTGGGCCAACTTTGAAGAGAAACATTAACGATTACCTTGGCCTTTCTATTGTCAGCTGTGGTTTCTTCAAATTCCTGGCCTAGCTTGAAGGAGATCTCTGTATTTTTAAAGGTGCTTTCAGTTCGTATAGTTATAATATCTCCTTTCTTGCTGATGATCACAGTGGGTTTGGCCAAATTTCCCAGTTTTCTGGTGGCTAACCCCACACCTGAAAATTAAGATAGTGTTAGAATTATGGTGACCAAAACAGCATAGCCAAACAGACTGTGGTGGCCACATCCTTTGCTCAGTGGTGCCCCAGGTGTGTCGATGGCAGGTAATATCACTTTACTACTAAGCGTCTCCTCCCATGTTTCACTCCCAATGGAAATACATGCCCAGTACTCACACGTTTCAGGTTTTGTTGTTTGAAAAGTAATGTCTGCAGATTTTCTTTTCTTTTCTTTTTCTTTTTCTTTCTTTTTTTTTTTTTTTTTAAGATGGAGTCTCACTCTGTGGCCCAGGCTGGAGTGCAGTGGTGCATCTCGGCTCACTGCAAGCTCTGCCTCCCAGGTTCACTCCATTCTCCTGCCTCAGCCTCCCGAGTAGCTGGGACTACGGGTGCCCACCACCATGCCTGGCTAATTTTTTGTATTTTTAGTAGAGACAGGGTTTCACCGTGTTAGCTAGGATGATCTTGATCTCCTGACCTCGTGATCTGCCTGCCTCGGCCTCCCAAAGGGCTGGGATTACAGGCGTGAGCCACCGCACCTGACCAATGTCTGCAGATTTTCAAGAGTTAAAGTTTCCAGCTGAAATAGCTAGTGCAAGTCATCTATTTTTATCACATCCAATCCTATTCCCCATTGAAAATTACTAATTATAGATTTGCATAAATCATTTTAGAGATTTTAGTTTGTATGTACAAATACTATAGATATATTTTTTAAATGAGACTATAGCATATACGTATTGTTCCACGATATTTTCCCTCAATACCATATTATGGATATGGAGAAGTATTCCCCTCATATTTTTGATAGAATCTCACTTCTGAAATTTTGTGACTTCTATATCTAGCTGGTAGGAAAACAACTATCCATCTACCTTTGAGATCTATACTATTATAAATGATCATAGAGAGTTAAAATATTTTTTTAAAGAACTCTTCTACGTTTCAAAAATGAAACACAATTAGACTCTTAAGTTTACTACCATTATTACCAAGACTATAAAATAGATGGAAAAAGGAAAAATGTCAAATAAAAAAATATGAAAGAAAAACTAGTTTTCCAGGAAGCCTCAATGCTTGGATATATTTTTTCCGGTTAAAATGATCTCAAATTTTTATATACTGAATAAGAAGTTAAGAGTTATAGCCAATAAACTATAAACTATATTCTTTCTTCAAATTCTGATTAATCTTTTGTTATTTTATACCGTTTAGGACACTGTTTTTCAAGTTAAATTGTAATCTCTGTGACCGAGCCTGAGAATTTATATTTACCAAATCCCAAGGTGTTATTTTGCACACTAAACTGGAAAACAATGAAATTAGCGAATCCTTCACGGAGACTTTCTTTTATTTGGCTTCTTCCTCAGCTGTAAAGTGAAGTCTTTAAATCTAACCGGTCTCACAGTATGAATTCATCCTAGTGTTCCAGGCAACGATGACATGACTTTGCTCATTTTATCTAAAATAGAACATTTTATACAAGCTTTCTGAACAGTTAAGTAAAGCTGTAGGCACTTTGACAAGCACAGCAACCTCAGGTCACTGGCATCACTCTTTGTTATATTCATATAGTTCTGAAAATTCCCAAAGACTCTTCATATCTATTGTGTTTATATCAATGGGACATACTCTAGAAATAGTATAAAATAAAATTGTTGTAACTAATGACTCGGTTTTCCATCTCCATTCACTGCTCCAACTCCAGAAACATCTGATGATAGTGAAATTGAGTTTGAGTTTACTGCCACAACTCCAGTTTTTTTTCTCTCAGTAACTTCCCCAGGCTATGAACATAGTATTTTAGGAAGTATTTTTGTTTTTCAAACTCTCTGTATCTACATATTGTGTAATAAAGGACAACCTAGAGGTAGAGAGAAAAAACTGTTAGTTTAGCTAAAAATTAAAATTTTAAATTAAAGTTTTCTAGGATTTGCAATATATTCAATTCCTTATTTTATGAACACTTTAGTTACTATGAATGTAGCTCTCAGAAAAGCCAGAAAATGGGTTGACTATGCTTTTAAGCTTTCTTTCCGCTGGATCTGCAACCAAAATTCTCTTGGTATGAAATTGCCCTTGAAATCACTGGGAGTTTCATGCATTTAAGCAGCTCTCTCATTTAAGTTAAAGAGTCTATTAAAAGTTACCACTAATAAAATTCAAATAAATTGTCTGAATGACACAAAAAAGATTAATCCTAAAAGAGGAATGTACTGCGGCCTGTGCAAACCCCCCAGTCTCCTGTTAAAGGTGTTAGATGAAAATGTCATGAAGCTTTCTTAAAAAGGAGCTTTTCAGCAGAACAACAAAAAGCATTTCTTACCCAGAGCTTTCATGTAATCGTCAAAGTTCTCACTAGAGACAAGTTTCCAGGTGCCCAGGAATTTGTTGCTCATCGTGATGGGTGAGAGCTCAACACAGTTCTAAGTGGGATTCAGGAGACTCAGATAAGATGCTGAGGCCTGAGAAGATTCTTTTCAAGGACGCCCAAAGCATGTGACTCTTACAGAGACCCAATGGGGAAAGGCAGTGTCGGGACTAAGCAATGAATGGCTCTTCAATGGCCAGCTGCCCGCCCAATAGGATAAAAGAAAACCCCACACAATACTCCCTTTTGTCTCCAAAAAAATTTATAAAATGAATGAGATTACTATTTGAATCTTCAAAAATTTTTTGATCGATCTTACATTTATAAGAAGGCTTAGGCCCTTCATGCTTTGGAAAAGACTGCATGAATTATGTGATCGTGAATGAATGTGTGTGTGTTCAGGCATGTTGGTCACTCTCAATCCTGAGTCTGCACAATTAAGAATTCTTATTGAAAGGGAAGAAAAAGAGGAAAATGTCTGTAAGTATTATGATAACAGTCACAAATATGTTGTGGGAGAGAAATGTAGGGGAGCAGTGTGAGGAAGTATTCATAGGTAAGAAGGCTTGGCATAGTTCACATATCCCAGGCAGGCAGAGTAGGCAGACAAAGAAGTCAGTCTATTGCAGCAGAGCACAGAAATTGTATTCATGTGATGAAACAAGAAGTAGCACTATAACATGTTCTTTGAGCACAACAAAGATTTTCAGCTAAAAATACTGAAAATCTGAACTAAGCAGGTTCCTGGATACTATAACCATTTGTGTTTAAGTCATTTAAAATGAATCTACAATTTTATAAAGAGGATTTCCTATAGAAAGAGTACTAATATATACTGAGAACTCACTATAGGCCAGACACTGTGCTAAGTGCTTAATACAGGTGATCTCATTTAATTATATCACTGACTCCAAGAGTTAGGAACTATTATTACATCCATTTTACCAATGATAAAAATGAGCTTGGGGACATTAGGTAAATTCCTTCCAAAAGTTGAATAAGGAGAGGACGGGTCTGAACCCAACATTACTGCCAGTGCCTGGGTTCTGAACCATGATCTTAACCTGCTTCTATTATACTGTACCATATATGCTACATACACAGAGGCCCTGGCCAGAGATCACCTGATGCTGATAGCACCATGATTGGCTAGAAACACTCTTGCTCTTCTCAAAAATCAAGTGGGGTAAAAAATCAAAAGATCCAGCCTACTATATTACACCAAAGCCCCAGTCTTTGGCCAAGGGGAACAAATGTAAATCCACTTAGAACGTAAGTGTTGCTCTTGAGAATCTCTAATTACTGCTATATCTTTCCTAGCAGGTTTTTTTTTTTTTTTTTTTTTTTTAACCTTAGCATGAATTCTGACTGTGAAACAACTGATTTTACCAAGTTTTATACATTTGGTAAACAGGTTGGCACTGTTTACAACAACAACAACAACAAAACACAAAAATATGATGAATTTGGTCATAACAGGTAGAATCATTGGCAACAAGGGCTCAGGAAACCCAGTCCCATAACTGTGACATAACTATTGCAGTTATGTAGTTAGAGTTCAAGCTGAACAAAACATGTGAAATCATACACAGTGGGCTGAAGTTTCATTTACATTCCCAGTGCCTGAATAGCTCAAGGTGGGAAAGAAATAGTGAATAGGAAAATTCCTCAGCTGACCAACTAACCCAAATCTAAACCCAAGAGAGTGTAATTGGAGGGAGTACATTGTACTGGGATAGAAAAAACAACTATGAAATAAAGAGCTTTTGATTAGTGGATATGTTATTTGATTTTCCAAAACACTTTACAAAAATGATGATATCATTTGTACTTTCAAAACTTTTTTTTTTTTTTTTTTTTGTGTCAGCTGTACACTATTAAGGAGTACAGCATTCCGCATTTAGGTTTTCTGCCTAAATAAATGAAGGACCCTCAATCCCTCACCCTCACACTAGAGCCGAGACCTTGTATTGGGTGGGACTGCTACAAGAAAGCTGTGTGAATTTTAAGCTGACTCTGTATTGCACATAGGAACAGCAGTGGAGTTTAAAATGTAAACATTGAACCATATGTTTCCAAGACAGAAAACTTATAACTTTGAAGCAATATTAGACCAAGAAAAAAATTTTCTACTTAAGGCTTCTCAGCAATTGTACCTGACTGCTATTAATAGAACTGACCAGACGAATTTGGACCATGATGAGATTCTGAGGCCAGTACACGGGCCAAAGGCACAGATTAAAGCAATGAGAGAAGACGCAGACTGAACCAGGCCTGACACATTATATCACTCCTAGCTAAGAAAGTCATCAGTGTCCCAACAAGAAAGAGTGCACAGAACCACATTATAACTAGATGTATATATTTAGACTGGACTACATGTTTGTAAAATACATATAGTCTCTCTATGATGTGTATTCAGTTCTTCTCTCTTCACCAATTTATTGTCCATGTAAATTCTCAAGATAACGGCAAGTTATTTGAATCATATACTGAAAGGAAGATCCAAAGGTCAAAACAAAATAAATAAAGAAATCTTACTCTATATAACACACCATGTAAGTGCTCCTTATAGATTGTCTTCAAGCTAAATCCAATCATATATTTGAAAAAGAAATAAGATAATCAATCATTACATAGCAAATGAACAAACAATTCCTGACCCTCCACTTGGATGCCAAAGATCCAACTCAATTTTTGTTGTTTATTCAATTGCAAACATATTTATTGAGAGCTTATTAAGTGCCACGCACCGTTGAAAGTGCTGATTAAACATTACTGAATCAAATTCCTTGCCTTCATGGAACTTACATTCTACTCATGATTTGATAAAAGCTTGAAGCAAGAAGTTTTAATGGTAACGAATTTGAAATTATTTGTAAAGTAGAACTATTCTGATAATAATTGATGACAGGAGAAGCATACTATAGAATACCAAGATAAATAATCAACTTAAAAGGGTCGCTTAAAACATTGTGGGTTCATAGTAGGTGTATGTATTTACGGGGTACATGAGATGTTTTGGTACAGGCATGCAAAGCGTAATAACCACATCATGGAAGATAGAGTATCCACTCCCTCACACATTTATCCTTTGTGTTACAAATAATCCAGTTTTACTCTTGCTTATTTCTAAATGTACCATTAAATTATTATTGACTGTTCTGCTATCAAATACTAGGTCTTATTTATTCAATTTTTTGTAACCATTAACCATCTCCACCTCCCTCCTACTCCCCCACAACTCCTGTACTACCTTTCCTAGCCTCTGGTAATCATCCTTCTGTTCTCTATCTCCATGGGTTCAAATGTTTTGATTTTTAGATAAGTGAGAACATGTGATATTTCTTTCTTTGTGTCTGGCTTATTTCACTTAACATGTGCTCCAGTTCCATCCATGTTGTTGCCAATGACTGAATCTCATTCTAAAAAGTGTCGTTTTAAAATAAACAGTTGGGAAGAAAATAAAAATAGACCTTAGAACTTTCACTTCCGGTCATGAGAGATGAGGAAATTAACCCAACTTTTCATCTGTAAAAAGACGAACAAAATTAGAAAAAAAAATCTTCAAGGCATCAGAGATAAAAAGGCAGAGAAAAACTAAGAGCTCAGGACTTGGGAAAGAAAGGCAAATCCAGAGAGACAAATCCAATATTTGGAGCTTCTGCTCCACTAAGGATCTATGAATTCTGCAAGAGGCAGGTTAGAGGTAAAAAATCCAAGGAACATTTATGACAATGCTACAGAGTTAGGGGAAAAGTGAAGAAGAATCTGGTTGATCATTACACTTTGTCTTGGGACTCTCTTGCCACACAGGAGTAAGGATAAGCTTGAAATATACCTGTGCTAGTATAAAGTCAATTCTTAAAATTAGATTAATGTGATCTGGGATAGCTAGTGAACCAAGCTACTAGTCAGAAATGAACATAAACCCTCTTCAGAGAAAGAAGATAATGTCACCTGAGATCTAAATTTATATATATAATTTATATATATATTGATAATCAAAAATAAATAGAACAAAAAGAGGAAATATACTTAAAAGATAAAAGAAACAATGGACAATAGAAATAGATAATTCATAGAGCAGATAATAAAAACAAACATGATAGAAAATATCAACAGACCCAAAAGCATTTTAATGACTAGCAAGATTGATAAACTCTTAGGAATATGGATTAAAAATAGAGAAGACAAAATTATTGAATGCAGGAATGAAAAAAAGCATATTAATATATCCTACAGATATTAAAAAGATCATAAAAATATAAACTACTTCATGTCAACAAATTGAAATTTGTTAAATAAAAAAATTTAAAAGAGACTTACAGGCTTCTTAGAAAACACAGTTTATGAAAAACAATGCAAGAGAAAGTAAAAATCCTGAATACTCCCAAATCTATTAGCATTAAATCCATATTTAAAACCCATCTCATGAAGATACCCTATGCCCATAGGCTTCACCAATGAATTCTTACAAATATTTGAGGAAAAAATAATACCAATGTTACACAAACTCTTCTAGAGAATAAAAAAGGTCCCAGTTTCCAGCCTTCACCAAGATCTCTGTACGTGTCACTCTCTTTTCCCGCAATACCTCCCTTCATCTCTTTCCCTGTAATGCGTAATCACTCCCATATGTTTAATCCTTAATTCTCAGCTCAATCATCCTTTCGGACCTTTAGAGTGACTTTCTTTTGCTATTAACTCAACCATCTTTCCTAATAGTTTCTTTACCATGTATATCATCATTTAACAGTTACTGCAATGACGATGTTTATAAATTTTGAATATAACTTGATAAATAGCTTAACTGACATCTTGATTCCATGTGATCAGGGACAATGTGTGATTTTGCTCATGTAGTATCCCAAGTGCAAAACACTATGCATGCACACAGTAGGTAATGAATAAACATTTGTTGACTCACTGAATTAAGAAAATAAAACATTTTGTAGTTTTTGTTTGCATCATATCAGATAATAAATGTTACGAAAGCATCAAAAACTAGTGCTTATGATCAGTAGTATTATTCTTCTAAACTTCTTTCTCCCCTCTCTCTCCCCTGCTTTCTCTTTCTTTTCTTTCTCTGGAGATACAGAAAGAGCAAGACTTGGGAGATAACTAAGTGACACTCATTCCTTCATTTGGTCTTTCCTT